TTTTTTTTTTTTTTTTTTTTTTTTTTTTTGTTTTCATCTAGCGGCATGTGCTGCTGCGATAAAATTTTAGTATACATGCTATACCGTGCTAGCTTTCGAATAGATTCTAGGAATCAAGCGTGTAAGCCGATTTGTAAAAACAGTTTATTACCGATTCGTAATTTAATTCGTGTAGCAGTTTTTTTTCCTTTTCACACTTGGTTACATCGTGTTAAGTAAATTGAGCCACAAGGGCATAATACAATAATTTTATCTGACTAGTAACAGGTACTCGCATACGTAATCGTCCCCGTCATGTAAGTTTAGCAATGTATAATTAGATAGTCTGCAGAAGTGAATGTCATTGTCCATTATTCCAGTTCGCACAACATAGGTATAGTTTTGAAAAAATTTAATTGATCACGCAGCAAGAAGCTCTCTAAGCCGTGATGTAAAATTGACAACGAATTGTCGAGGATTAGTTGTGATTAGTTGAACATTTTACACGTTTCATCCTTTTGCGGTGTTCAACATTCGCTGAGAAGTTTCAAATTAAACTCATTAAACTCAAGCTCAAAGGAGGCCACGATCGTGCCTAATGGAGCAATGGAACCAATAATAAATGTACATTATTATGATTTCATTACGTCCTTAGATTGCAACGTTACATTATGCATGAGAATGCGTTTCATCACCGTTCGTGTTTCATTTCTCCCCCTTTACATAACATAAAAACCATTCGCGATTATTTTTCAAACGCTATAAACACGTTACTCATATTCTTTGTAACGCCTTTAAACGACGTTTTCCCTCGCGGAGTTGTCGGTGATTCTGCGACACCGAGTATCTTGTGACATATATCCTCGCCGGCTGTTAAAGACACGCCTGCCAAAGAAGATACGTTTTGTGTTGATCTGAGCTACCTAATCTCTTCAGGACATGCTTGGCCCTGATCAAGGCTATGACGGTATGTATGGACAAGGACCCCCTAGTGTACACAGCAGCCATGGAGGCCGAGGTTATCAACCACAAGGTAAGTTACGAGCCTTATCCTTTTTTTTTTTTTTTTTTTTTTTTACCCGATTAATTGCTTTCGGACGATCGACGTAGATGAATTTACAAAAGTGGATTTTCACGGTGTTTCCTTCTTTGTTTTCTCCATCGCGATATTAACCGATACGATTTTCGAAACTTCTGATACGCCTTGTAATACGAATGTAATCCCCAAAAGTCACTCGCTATATTGAGACTTCCTTCGAAGAGATGCGCTCTATTTTTTTCTTCTTCTTCTTCTTCGTTTCTGCATCGAGAATCAATTGGTATTGGTAATGCGAATTTCTCTGTGCTCGTGTTCGTTCTTTTTTTCTCTTATTTGTACGATATACGAAATGAAAAAATTTGGTAACTTTTTTATTTCTAAAAATAAAAAAAAAAAAATAATCGATGATGAGAAGAAAGCAATGCATTTAATTCTATGTTATTTTAACAGCAGCTTAACCCATGGACTTATATTAAAATACAGGCTATCAACAGTATCTCGCAGTAACATAGGTGATACTCAGCTCTTATGTACTGTTCTGCTTTGTGATTAATCGCTAAATGTCTACCTTACACACGCTTTCCATAGTTTATAAATTGTATTTGATATCCCGGCCACGCGATACACGTTTTATTGAATTTGGTAAATATTACACGTAATGCACGTTTTGTGAATGTTTTCGTCTTCTTTAATTACTTTTGTTTTTCGTTTTCTTATCATGAGTACA